CCATATTGGCGAAAGTACAGTGGACTTTCGCCAATTGGCGAAGCTCCACCGAATGTATTGGTGAAAGTACAGTGGACGTTCGCCAATGGCGAAAGTCCTATTGGCGAAAGTCTTATTGGCGAAATTCCGGAACCCCTTATTTATGTGAAGATCAAGAAACGAAGCGGTATTTCCCATTTCATACGTTAATTTTATATTTGGATGATATGCATTGGCATCTTCAAGCATTTTTGTAAGATTTTGAATGGAATCGTTTGATGTTAAGAAAATGTCATCAATATAACTAAAATTCAGATGAGATACATGATATTACCTCAAAGTGTAAACATTTTTCTTCACCCCAATTCATTGACTTACCGTCCATATAACTCATTTGACTTTTTCTGATGTTCTACTAATGGTTGTTCCCAGTGCCACATAAATATGTTGGCTAATGTTAATGTAAATGGTGATCCAATTGCACCACCTTTAATTTGTCTATAATATTGATTATTATAGCTGAAAAAATTTTCATTAAGAATAATACGAGCTAAACATTCGATAGCATCAATTGTCATGCCTCTCACATGTGTGTGATTGAAATGGCGACGAAACTGTTTGAGAATGGATATTGATTCTTCTTGTGGTAACATCGTATAGAGATCAGTAATATCAAAAGTACATAGATGTGTTGTTGCTTTTAATAAGCCAAGATTCACATATTTTTCAAGTTGACGAACAAGATGAACACCATCAATAAGTGTTGTTTGTTTAACATATTTATCAAATAGTGGACGTATTAATTCGTCTAACATTTTTGAAATTTTTATTGTTGGTGAACTCATACCAGATCCGATAGGTCTTAATGGAGTACCAGGCTAGAAATATCGAATAACTAATGAAGTTACACGCAGACAAATTATTATTTTGAATAATAGAATTACTTTATGTGGTTTTGGTACAAAATATAAGTAAGCTAGTTTGATTTTGTTTTTATCAGGCATCATTTTCGTATGTTGCCACGCTGTAATTTGCTGTTTCGAGCGAAGATGATTTAATAAATGAACTACTTTATAGAATGTGGGGTGTGGGTGTGGGTATGAATGAATTGAATAAACCCACCCACTTATTCCAACACCACCCACAACCCCATACCTACACCTACAGGCACACCTCAAGCAGACAAAATTTTTCAAAAACGCGTTGAAACGCCCAAAACAGGACGAGAAATCTAGAAAAAGTGTACTTGTTTGGATGCTAGTCGTGGTTCCTGGTTGTGAGTGAAAAGCGCTCACTTTCCCACTTTCTTGTGCGTTTAATCGCGTTTTCAGTCAAAACACGCTCGTAAAGGCATAAAAAAAAGGAAAAAAGGTGGTCGTTTTTATGATACTTAAGGACTCTTATTATGATCCCGTCATTGATAACAACTATGAAATAAAGGACCATTTTTTTTATGCATGTACGAGCGTGTTTTGACTGAAAACGTGATTAAACGCACAATAAGGTGGAAAAGTGAGCGTTTTTCACTGGCAATCGGGAACCTCGACTAGCATCCAAACACGGCCACATTTTCTAGATTTTCCGTCATTTTTTGAATGTTTGAACGCGTTTTTGAAAAATTGCGTCTGCTTGGGTATACATAACATCTGAGATCGATGACTGAATCGCTAGCTTATCCAATTGGTTTTTTAATTTTTTTTCTCATGTATTCAAGCGATATCTAACCGAATATTTACATATATGAGCCAGTCGACGTAAGCCACGACCGAAGCTGCTCAAACGATACTCTCCGATTCTTCTCATTTTAATATATGTGATAGAGGCAAGTGTTTAATGAATTCTAGCGCAAGCCAATTCGAAAAATATTGAAGCGTTCATTTTTTATGGCATTTTTACGAAGAGTACCATAGAACTCACTGTGACGGGAGGCCATTTTCGGTACCATATATCTCAAAAAGGCATCAATCATTTGGGGTGAAAACTTTGATACACCAACAACCAACTAAGTTCTACATATAAAACAAATTTCAGCGCCAACAATTGAGTCTTTGGTATTTTATGGACTTCGCCATTGTGAGAAAAAAAATCATTTTTTTACCAATTTTGGCTGCACATATCTCCAGATTGCGAAATGATAGAGATCTGAAATTTCTCCAAGGGGGAACAAGCGGACTTCTGTACTTCCGAAGTACAAAAGTACAGAGAAGTACCAGAAGTACGAAGAAGTACGAAGAAGTACCAAGAAGTACCAAGAAGTACGAAGAAGTACCAAGAAGTACCAAGAAGTACGAAGAAGTACGAAGAAGTACCAGGAAGTACGAAAAAGTATGAAGAAGTACAAGAAGTACAGAAAAGCACGACGAGAACTATGTAGATACACGAAGGTGCATAGAAATTTCTTCAAGTTTATTTGAAAGAAAAGATCTAATCATAAGCACAATAAATTAAAAACGATTGTTATTATCTTTGCGGCTTGATTGAATAACTCGAGAGAGTCGATCATTTGACAAACGCGTGTTTTTATCAGTTAATAACCAGCAAGCCGATTGTTTATGAATATATTTGTATTTATCATTAATCTTCAGTTTAAAATAAGAATCTCGTCGACCAGTTTCAATTTCATCGAAAATTTTCATGCCATTGAAATTTGATTTTATTGTCGTCATAGTACAATTGTTGTCATCGTCTTCATCAAAGATGACATCATTATTAAGTTGGTTGATGATATCACTATTATCATCATCATCTTCTTCTTCTTCTTCTTCTTCTTCGTCTTCGAGATCAAATTCATTATCATCATCATCATTTATTATTTGTGTTGAGTAATCAAACATCTTTGACCTGGAACTAAGTTGTGTAAATACATATTTACTCAATGAATTTAAACCAAGGACATCATGTTCTTGCAGTAATCTCGATATTTCTAAACGTTTAATTAATTCAAGTGCTTCACTATATGCATCTGAAATGATATTTTCTACATCAAGTTGATCAATATCATCTAAATTTTGTAAAGATAATAGATGATTATCACGTTTGTGTTTGTGATGAATAGGAAATGATAAATGTTCACTATCATCTTGTTGAAATAAATTATCACATTTTATTCGATTTAACATAGAAATCTTTTGTGAACGATTAAGAAAATCAGCAACAGTAAAATTAATTCTTGTTGAATATGTACCACTTAATGATCTGGCGTTACGAAACATTGATTCGCATGACTGAGAATTAAACAAATACACATTTAATGCTTCTTTTGGCAGTTGCTTTTGTTTAACTAATAAAATTATGTAAAGCAAATTGTGAGCGTTCAGTTCAACTGAGAAGTACGCTGTTTTTGTGATAAAAAATGTTGCTTTGCTGTTTCGTTTTGTTGTTGTCGAAGCTGTTGTTGACGCGAATACTTTATGTTGTATCCAAGTCCACCACATTCTACATACGAATACAATACACCAGGCGGACTGTAAACCTGAAAAATATGCAAATGAAAGGAATAAAATTCGTTAAATCTTCAATTCTTGTTCAAAATCAATATACTAACGTTCGTTAATTTTTGTTGTTTTTTCTACATAAGTCGATATTATCTTTTTAAGCAAATGTAAATAGATAAATGTTCCATACGTATCAGCATCAGCAACTAATATAGACAATACATCATCTTTAGCTATTTTGACACAGGAATTAAAATTCTGACGATCTTTGGGATTTAAATCACTTCGAGTTAATCCATGATCTAATTTAGAATAATTAGAATCTTCAACAATATCGATTAAATGGTCTATTGAAATATGTTGTGTACCAAGACGAAGTTGTGCTGTGGAAGACAACAAACGGTTTCTCCACTTTGTAGCTAAATGAATGGGATCTTGGAAAAACAACAGAAGCTGTTTGCTTCTTAAATAAAACCAGGGCCATTTTGTTGTTGTTGCTGTTAAATCAAATGCTGCACGTCGCTCATCTAATTTAAAATAAGGCAATGATGCAAAAAAACCGCTCACCAAGCGCATTGCACGAAGATATTTTGCATCACCATCTAAGAAAAATAAATAAAGAATAAAACAGGTTATCTTCCAAATTTGTTGAAGCATAAAAAGTATAATCTCACCTGTTGAAAAACCAATAATTCGAATATTTTTCTGCAGATTATTATCAAATATAAATAGCCACCGCCGTAATATATCCATTGATGTATAAGTGTTGACAGCACCATAGCCAGCCAATAAAAATGCAGATGGAGCAGTAGAGTTATTTGATGATGGCAATGGTTGCATCATATGTATATTCAATAAAGATGATTTATCTGACGAGTTGAACCATGACTCTAATTGATTGAAGGAATTTGTTTGATAGTACTTGGAAACCGGTATTCCATTGACAAGTGGTGTAGCAAATCCAACAAATGAGTTTGTTTCTTGATCGTAATTTATTTTTCGTATTACGCCAGTGCAATCCTCGGAAGCAAATGCATATTTAACATCAATTCCATTGAAATATTCATGTAATTTATCAAAGCGAAATTGTGCTTCATTTATTCTAAGATCGCTGCTCGATATTAATTTATTTAATGTTTGTACACTAGGTAAAGCAGGAGATAAATTCATTCTAACAAATTGATACGTCATTTTGCCACCTAATATGTATAATGATAAGGCAAATTGCTCGATAGACTTAGAATAACGATAATTATTCGATGATTTATTTAGATTGTTTACAATACAGTCAATAAATGCTGTTAAAAATGTTGGTTCATTATTATTTGCAGTGTCATTCTGTTCATACCAATGAAATAAAGATTTTAGCAAAGGATTATTGTTGATTACATTGCTGTATGCTTGTTCTTGTTGTTGGTTGAAATTGGGATTTTGCTCCCAGGTCGAAGAAAACGATCAGTAAACTGTCGTATACGGTAGAATACGGCCCGTTTTACGTGCCGTATTTTCCACGTATAACAGGGGCAGTAATACGGCCGTATGTTCTATAGAATACGATAATATTACGCCGGCTTTACGAGGTTTTACGGCTGATATACGGTGTCCGTGTATGGCCGTAATACTGCCCCTGTTAAAACGCCTTAATACGGCTTAATACGGCCGTTTTACGACGGAATACGATGCAAAAACGACCGTTTACGGTAATGTTACGCCGGTTTACGGTGGTCTGTTTTGATGGACCTGGGCTGTTCTTTTTTTTTCTCATTTAATAAATTTGTTAGCAAAGACAAATTTGTTTTTATTCCACTTTTGAGAATATAATCACCATTTTCTGTTCTGAAATGTATTTTATTTCGTAAACAATTTATTTCAGGTGAACTATATTGAAATATATCGAACAGATTATTGGAATTTACAAATACTTCGGTAGAATCTATTGATTGAATTTGCAATAATTCACATAACATTTCACCACCTAATTGTTTAATAAACTTAAAAAATTCATCACCTTTTAAATTTAAAACATTGTTTGGTATAGCAGTTGCATCATAATGGTTATTCATTTATAAAATCTGCAATTGAAATCAAAAGGAATTTAACTTGCAAGTACTCGAAATAATTTGTGCAATAAGGTACTTTAGACGAGAAAAGACATGTTAATCACGTTGATATAAAATGTGAGAGAGAATTAAGATATTTGTATTAAAAAAATAATTTAGAGCCGATCTTAAAGTTCGAGAACGCAAATATTTTGAACAGCAGGCGAATTTTCAACATTGGCTAATATTTATATATCTTTAATCATTAGTTAGTTTAAGTTCGAGATGCCGCCTTCGTTTGGTAAAAGAAAGTCTAATATAATATATAAAAAAAAAGCTATTAAATTTCCCACTGGCCAATTTTTCATCACTGTTTTTATTTATTTATTTATTTTTAGAAATAATAACGTGATTGTTTAGCAAAAGTTCCTGATTATGTATTCTGAAAACGTGTTTCACGAAACCCGGGATTTGCCTACAAATGTATTGACATTAGTTGATGACACGTTTTATGATTTTGTTGAACGACGTCTTGGCATGTATCAATCATTGTTATTAAAAATTCAGCAAATAAATTCGGTCCCATGCTTTTTATTAACAAATGATCCATGTGAAGTTTTAAATCTTAATATAGACGACGACGATTTAAATGTATTAAAACGAAAAATATGTTTTCCATTATCAGATGGTTCATTTATTGTCAAACCTGGCTTCAAAACAGGTTTCATATGTTTAAGAGATTTATTATCGAAGAAAACTGAAGAAAGATTAAAACAACTAAGAAGCACAAAAACTCAATCAACAACAGCTGCTCCAATGAACAATATACCATCGTCGTCACCATCATTGACACCACCACGAACAACAATTGCATCAGCACCACAAATAGCAGCTTCGCCATCATCTGATATAGTAGCGACACCAATTATGGAACATCGACGATACTTCTTGAATTTATTGAAATTATGGTGTTCGAATCACAAGGACGACTTTCTATCAGACTCATTTGATTTAAACGAAGGAAAAGATTTCATTCTAAATGTTTTATATGACCAAAATAATGATCTTAAAGTTAATGTTAAATGTAACTGTAATAAATCAATAACATTAGCAATGAAAGATGGTAAAATGCAGCTCTCTAATTATCAGAAACATTTACGCTCGACAAATTGTAGTCATATAAAAGCGATAAAAAAAATGAATGGAGAACAAAAAAAAATCAGCCTTCAACAATCAAAAGATGCTTCATCCTCCTCGACATCTGTGACATTAAAGCCATCAGCACCAGTACAACAACAATCTGCTTCACAAAGTCCTGTTTCTGTTGTAACTGGTGCAACGTCATCTATGAATATTCCTTCTGCAGATGCACGAACAACAGTATCACAAACAAATTCTCGTAAACGTAGTCATGAATCATCTCAATTTTCATCATCGCAAAAAAGAAAAAAGAATCGTACCTAAACAAAAATGTTTATTTCTTTTCAGAATTGATTGTATCTTTACCGAGTATTTGCTGTTTTTATATATTTGTATACTTATCTTTTCTTGATGCTTCTTATGTATGGTTGCTTTTTATTATATAGTCATTATGTTGTTAACTAGAGATTTATATGTAACTCAGATGATTTTTATAAAAGAACATTCAATTTGTTTTTTTTTCTCCAAAGAAGT